AACTGCACAGCCTGTGACCCCTTCTGACCAGGATGTCCTGACTTTGTGCCACAGGCAAAACACCTGCCCATTTAGGATGAAGACCCTGGGAAGAGCCTGCTAATCCACCTACTAGCCCACAACACATCAAGGTGCTGAGCCAATCATGCTCCCATTGTTAAGCTAACAAATGCCTGGTGATTAGGCCAGCTGGCTTTGGCAGCACAACTTAAGAAAGGTCTGGAGAGAGCAGAATAAGCTGACATTGAATGAAAATGAGGAGACAAAACTAGGCATTGAGGAGTGTTTATGTGGCAGACAGGAGTAACTACTCCTAGGACCACCTCCATTTCTAATAGCTTCCCTGTGTTCACCCCAGGTACCCTAATCACAACTTCCTTTATTCTTGAACTTTACATGGCATTTCTATCCTTTGCAATCAAGATCTTGTTCTTTTCTGGCTCTCCTGTTGACATATAAAAGATCAAATAATTGAACATAATAGTATAAAATACTTTTGATTTAGGTGTTAACCATAGATGGGTTTCCAGGAGTGTTGTGTGTTTTATTAAAAGCTCAAATTTCTGTTTCTTGGGTAGAAGTCACTTGCATGGTTCAATATAACCATTGTAATCATACTGAGACTTGGATTCTATCAATAACAGTTGAATGTCCAAGGTTTTTTTTACAACATTAGTAAATTATTTACTGGTAACCTCGAGAAAGAATTGGAGCCCAAGTTTAAACAAAAAACCATCTGTACCAGGCAGAGCCAAGCAAACAGAAGAGTAGGAAAATATACTTTCCATAAATGTGAGCTTGCTTTAAGTAACGGGGAAGTTCTAGCGTCTTTGGCACCTTTAGTGCATAATTCATTGGCAATGCTTTGCTGCTTTCTGTCTTCTGTTTGGCTTTCCCTGGGATCTGCTCCCAGCCAAATGAAATCCTCTAGGGTTCCATTAGAGAGCATAAGTGGTAAGACTGATAAGAAAAAGACATATTTGTTTCATGCAGTTGACCACTCTTGGTAAATTATTAACCAACTCGCCTCTCACCAATCTTTGAAATGCATTCTCATCTGGTCTCCTGATGCATTCTAAGGCTAAGTGGCTCTCAGAATTTGGAGAGACTTTTTTCCCCATCCTAAGAATAACATTTAAGATTAAAAAATTGCGATTAAATATTATGTGCAACCTTGAAAACTTGCCAGAGTGGGTTCAGTGTCATTCACTCATGTCCTCTAGTGACAGAGGATTCCAACACTCAGTTCTAAGAAACAGTCAAGTAAGTGCTCATGAGGAGAAGCGGACACCCTAAGACCTGACCAATTTAGACATGGATGATAAGAAGGATGGCCTATCAACAAAGAGAAGCAACTTTCGCATGGAATTTCAGGCAGTATAATAAAGTGACGAACCCTAAATATTGTGGTAGGAATGATGCTTTTGTGGGAAGGAAAAGAAGGAAGAACTTGTTTTCTGGTTTCTACTCAACAGTACTAAGAAGCTCTGTCTTTTCTAGGCACAGCGGTGGTCCACTGGACCTGACGTACCACTTCTTCACTGGGGAGATGTCTATCTTGTAATTCAGCTCCAGGAAACCACTGTTAGCAAAGCCCTACATTTCCTTTTATGTATTTCCACTCTCACAAACAAGGCAGCCCTCATGGCAGCAGGAGCAGTCTTTAAAGGTTAGGCAGCTACCAGACAGCCAATTTCCCTTTGGCTTGTCTTCTTTTTGCTGAAGAGTGTGTTGACTCTAGTAGATCATGGTCACCTAGATGTCTAGAAGCTTTCAGGAGTGCAGGCCCAGAGATGACAGAAATCTCATGTAGGAAACTGTCAATACTATCCTTCTAGGCCCCGCTCCAACCTCCCCAAGGAGTTATCCCTACCTAGATAATAAAACATGGCAGCAGGGGTGCGGGCGCTCACCTGCTAGGGCTGTGACAATGCAAACAGCAAAATGGCACCAGCAGCAGCCAGTGTTTGCTGCTCCTTTTCTGTGTATCTGACCTTGTATCATTCTGTCCTTCAGCAGGAAGAAGCCAAAAAGCCAAAAGGAAATTTCATACTTAGGACCTTCCTAAACACTTTCTCTAAATACTACGTCCTACTACTGTGAGATCCCTCTTCCCCGTGACAGTGTAAATATGACAGGCTGGGAGAAGGCTCTGCTAACAGTTGCCCCAGGGGGCTGAGTCACAAGGTAAGACAATGCCACCACATATGTGTTTCAGGGAATCCTTGCAACTACGGAAAAGGTAGGCTCTACAATTATCTCCATTTTACAGATCAAGAAATGGAGAGTCACACAGCTTCAGAATCTTGGCCAAGGCCACACGGTAGAAAAGGGTTAGATGGATCATTTCAATCCCCAATGAATGAACACCAGTGTCTGGCTCTGAGTAGTTGCTCACTAACAAGATGTGAATGAGAAGAAAGGTAGATGTGGACATCCTCATTTCTTCATTATCCAGGCCCACCCCGGGCCCAGGAGCACCGAGGACGCTTGAGCTGAGGCCTCCAGCAGATGGGGCTTCTTGGGACCAGGTGCCGGGGCTGTTCTCTCCTCCCTGAGGCCAGCACCTCTCCTTCCATCCCCATGGCTGTAGAAGGGAAGCGCTGCTCCCTGTGGTTGCTGCACTGGCACAGAAAAGTGAGAAAATCCAGTCGGTCATTCTTAAGCTGTTGGCTAGGAATGTGAACATTTAACAAATTGAGTAGCCTGGTATGAAGGGGGAGAGTTGAAGGGCTGTGAGAAGCTGCGGAGGGACACCTCTCATCAGCAAAGAGAGGGAGACCCCTCTGTTCTCTACCGGCTGAGCTGGGGTGTGACAAGTTCTCCCCTGCTTGACTCCCTACATGTCTGTCTGCTCTTTAGGGTTAAGCTCAGCCTCTTTTTCCTCCTCTCTTCCCTGAATTCCTATCCACCGGAAGGGATTTCCACTTTCTCTGGACATTCACATTTTTACCATCTGTGCCAATCTCGAGAGAGCGAGAGAGAGAGACAGAGAGAGAGAGAGAGAGAGAGAGAGCGCGAATGAGAATGAATCAGTGGTTCTCAATCCTGGCTGCTAAAGAAAAACATTAAATGAATATTTTTTTTGATGAAAACAAGACTATACTCAGGTCCAATAACAGAACAATTAAGTCCGAATCTCTAGTTGGAGATTCTGGGTTGGAACCAGAACTCAGCATTTTTTAAAAAGCAGCCAAGATTGAGAACAACAGCTATAAAACCTTGGAGTGTGAGCATGTTTTGGCCTCGCACCTAACTGGTGCTCCAGGGCAAGGCCCTAGCTTTGCGTAGCGCTGCCCTTCACACCCAGTCTGGGCCTCCCGCACAGTTCATGCTCCCTGAATGAGTGCTGAGCGACTGCATCCTCACCTTATATTCCCAGCACCCCCCTGGTGGGATATGGAAGCACGTTTTGCTTTGTATGTAGGATGAGGCTCACACGTGTGCCATCCTCTGATTTGGACAAACCCAGAAGAGGATTTCCAAAGAAAATAACCTCCCCATCCTCAGTTAGCATCCCAAGGGAGGAACAGGCTGTGTTGCTGCTTATCTCTTGCTTCCAATGAAGAAGCCTCTAGCCAGATTCCTCTGTGTGCCTCCAGGGCCTGGGCCCTGTAAATGGCACACTTTCAATTATTTATCTAAACAAAGGTAAGCCAGAGGGCAGCTCTAAACACTTGCCTAGTGAACTGCAGCCCTACTTCCAGCCTTTGGAATTCTCAAGCTTACAAAACTTGGCTTTGTGGATCTGATTTTTTTCACTTTTAAAAAAAAAGGTACATTAGGGACAAAGCCATAAATTCCACTTCAGAAACAAAGGCGCGCCAGAGTGGAGCTGTAAGCAAGCGGCACTTGGAGGCTGGCGGCGATTCGGTTGCTAGGCTGTGAAATCAAACAGTCCTAACTCACTGGCAGGGAGGAAGAGTGAGTTCCTCCCAGTTTTGCACTGTCTCTCCCATCAAAGGACACTTACCGCTCTGTGTCACCAATCAGTGACAAATCCCTCAGAAAGAGACAGAGACAACTAAAAAACCACCTGTGAATGTGGTGGGAAGACTGTCGGTTAGGTATCCTGTTTCTTGTCGGATGATGCTCTGAACTGCTTTGTCTCTTTTTTGTGGGGACAGGGTTTGTGCTTATTCCTTTGAAGAACAAGCCTGCGATATGTAAAGCCTGCTGTGATATGGGTACAGCTGGTGGCCATGGAGAGAGCAATGTACATTGCCACGGTGGGAATCAAGTGCCACACAATCACCATTAAGAGCCACTAGCAGTAATGACACTCAACAGAGAATCTGAAGGTTTATCAGTCAGAAGTCAGGATATCTGGGTTGTAATACCAGCAGCAGAAGCAACAACAATTATAACTAATTGAGCTTATATTATGTACCATAAATACCGAGTACTCCAAACCATAGTACTAGAGACAGACATCATTCCTCCTTTACAGATCAGTAAACTGAGGTTTGGAGAAGTTAAGCAGCGTGGCCAGTTCATAAAACTAGTAAATGGCAGGACGGGAATTTGTGCTGAGGTCTACTTCTGTGTTCCTAATTAAGCTATTCTCCCACCCTTGTTGTCCCATGATGACACCACAATATGTTTTTGGCCTCTACTTTCTTTCTCCATCTCTACAGCCACTTACTTTAGTTCAGACCTTAAACTCTCTCACCTTTACCCTTTCCACAGCCTTTAACTCATTTTCCTGCCTCCAATCTTATTCCCTTGCTAATATTTTTCCTAATGTCTATTTTATTACCCTAGCAATATAATCTCTTGGCTACCACTGCCTACAAGCTAATCCTTTGCTGAACACAGATGGCCCCACTTAACTCTTCAGGCTTTTCTATCATTCCCCACTGTGATCCACTCACATCAAATGCTTAAATATTCCTGGAGAGCCTCACCCCTGTGCCTCACTCTCCATCTATGGGCCCACCCCTGAAGATGCCCTCTATTCAACACTTTCTGCTCCTCCAGCTCTTCACTGTTGACGTGTTTCTCATTCCATCCAGATGGTGAGCTCCTAGAAGGCAAGAAACTTGTTTTGTTCATCTTTGTAATTTCCCCAGGATTTGGCAGAAGGTAAATGCTAAACATATATTACATAGCTAAGTTGTTCACTCACTGACAGAATAAAATCCCTGAGGTGGAAAAAGATAACTAAATTTTGACAGCTAAATATATATACAGGGGGTCTCAGCATAATCAATCTTTGTAATTCCCATGGTATAGTTTATAAATTTATGTATCTCTGGAAAAGCCCCAAGAAACTAGATTTTTAAAATTAAATTCTAGTTATATACATGTTTTCTTTATATTGTAGTCTAGATTTACACCTTTCAAAAGCATTTTCTTAAGTACAAGTTTGCCATTATTAGTAGTAGAATCTGATCTTAGAATGCCTTATTTTCTTAGCTTAACTGTGATTTTCTTAATTGGGGCTTCTGGTTGACCACTACTCTCTTCACCTTATGCCTGGAGTAAGCTGACCAGGAAATTAAATAAGGCATGCCTAAGAAGCACCGGACAGTGGCACTTTTACATCACACTCCAAGATGAATTCTTTCAAATGACAAAGCACTGGAGTATAGGATGTCTTCCTGCCTGCTCCAAGGGAAACAGAATCTATCTAACCTCTACTCACACTTCATGTCTATCTCAATTTTTACTCTATCTTTGATGCCTTTTCTGGCTCTCTCAGCCAAGCAAGTGGTTGCCTCTTCTCTCTCTAAACTTAAGTAGCACTCACTCTGTGTCACTCAGACCCTGTCAAGGTCACATATGGAAAAGACACTGTCACAGGAGACAAAAATCTGGACTGCTCTCCTTGCCACAACAAATGCACTACGGGGCAATGGGTGGTGCACTCGCCTCTCTGGGCATTCTTTTCCTCACTGCAAAATAAGAGAGTTAGACTGATGGATTCAGATGGCCACGATGCAGTGCTTCTTTCCAGCTCTGCATTTCTATCAAGAAAATGCCAGATAGCTTGGTAATACTTGAAAGCTCCCCAGTGAGATGGAAGGAGAAGTGGGAAAGTATAGAACTCTGGGCCACATTCAAGCTATTAGAAACTGAAAACAACGATTTGGCCATTATTTTTCTCTAAATTTTCCAAGGGATCACATGATGACATCCCCAAACTAAACATGAGACCAAGAGGTGGCCAGCAGGATGAGAGTAGCCATCTCTGGGCCTGATGCCATGGAATGTATTAAGCATGCTGTCACACATTCATCATCATGCAGTGGGTTACCACAATTGTACACAAACACAGGGAAAATAAACATTCAGTTATAATCAACCATCATGGACTAAAAACACAATCCTTTTGATTAGCCACTGTGTAGTACATCTCTCAAAATGTGAAAAATAGATGCTCAGGTTTGATTTGGCAGGGCAGAGTAAGATTGGAAAACCAATCTTACTAACTTGCCCATTTTCACATCTTCTAAAATAATTCATTAAAGGCATGTAAAATAAGAACAAAAGAGTCATTCACTATAAAAGATGAATGTAGTAAAACATTTAAGCCAGAGAGAGCTTCTGCAGCTGAACACTGGAGATTTTCCTGAAAATTGAGCCCTCATAGGAGTAATACTGACTCAGTTCTCATACAAGAGGTAAGTTGTTTTAGTTGTACTAAAAGGAAGTTTACCACTTAGACTCCCAATCCAAAAGGGAGGGCACACTAGAATTAGGATAATTCAAGCAGGTGCTGTTTACACAGGGCCTAGATTACATGGGCATTGGGGCAGGGGAATGATAAGGCAAGCACAGGAACTTCAGCTGACTGTACAGCAGAGCTGTGAGGCGAATAGTGCCCCTTCCAAAAATTCATGTTCATGCTATAACCTCAGATGACTTTATTTGCAAATAGGATCTAGGTAGAAGTAGTGAGGATTGGCTTGAGATCATACCAGGATAGAGATTACCCTTAAACCTAACAGCAGTGTCTTTCTAAGAGATCAAAAAGGACAGAGATTCAGAGAAGGTGGACATGTAAAGATGGAGACAGAGTGAGTGTACCATCTGCAAGCCAAGGAACACCAAGGATTGCTACAACCATCAGTAGCTAGGAGGCGGGGATGGACAGTTCCTCCTGCAATGCCTCCAGAAGCAACCAATTCTGATGACACATGGATTTTAGACTTCTGGTCTCCTAAACTGTGACAGAATAAGTTTCTGTTACTTTAACACATTCACAATGGGGCTGCAATTTGTCTTGCTACTGGGTGGCTCTGAATCACTGATGGTACACACACGACTGTCCCATCTGGTGGTTCAGACAGTCATGCAAATACCACCGGGTACAAGTTGCCTGATGGGTTAGTCACACATGTACCCCCAGGGGCTCAAGCTGGCAGGAACATGTAATCCCCTGGCTTGTGGTCATTTGCCATGACAGCCCAAGGAAACATTCCATTTGCTAAAGGGATGAGGGAGGAAGAGACAATCTAGCCCAGCAGGAGAAAATGTATTGAACAGATCACTTTATGTAGACAATGACCTTTAAGTCAAGTTCAGAGCCAGTCTATGGTAACCTTGCAGGACGGGAGCCACAAGGCAGAGGAGCCCTACTGACATGTGTGTGCCTCTTGGAGCAAGAGGGAGAAGAGTGGAAAGTGTACATATCTGGGTGTGCAGATGAAACAACAAATTCATCTCACATCTGGGACAACCTAGCTGGAAAGTATCAATCTGAATCTGCTCCCCATAGAGTGCCTCCTCTTCATCATGTAAATGATGCTAATGACCTAGTCAGTCTCCTTTAGCCAGAGCAGGTCCTCTTTTCCTTCCATCCTCTTCGGCTGAGATTTCATGAACTCAAGCTTCCCTCCTTTGCTTCCCCTTTGCTCTGACCATTGTTTCCACACACAGCCTTCATCGTGTAATTTCCTTTACCTGCCCATTCCCACATGTTCTTTGTCAGCACAGCCTCACTCCAGCTCAAGTCCCATGACCCCAGGACATTTTCACCAAGGGATCTCATAAGCTGTTCCAAGTCAAGACAGCTGAAAAGCAGCCATATGCTTTTTCTCAAACCAACACTCCTTCAGAATTGCTCATCTCATTTCTGTAAACCAACTAGGCTTAAGCTCTCTAGTTTGTGCACCTTTTCTCAATATCAATGCCTCTTGGTTTTACGATGTTACTTCTCACCAGTTTCCCTCCATTTCTACAAGTGCTCTTGCTTATACACAGAGCACATGATCTGATAATGGCAAATACACTCTACCTGGTTTTCGTACTGCAGGCCCCCAGATCTTCCAGCATTGCTGTGGCCAAGGAAAAATTACCTTGCTTTTCCTCAGTTTCATCCATGACCTCTCTGCCTCGCGTCCTTCCTTGTTAGAGTCATAACCTTCCCCACGGCTCCTGAGGATCCTCCTATTCCAACTCCATTCTACTCTTTCAACCTACTTCTCAGTAGGTGTCAACCAGAAGCCTGCTGTGGTCAGGCTGCTGTGCCATCTTGTCCTCACACTGTACTTATGCCCATCCCTTTATCCCTGGACAATATTAGCTACCTAAACTCCAGACACCAGGGTCCACCACAAACCCAACAGAATGGAAAGCATCTGTCAAAAATCCTACAACATATGCAGACAATATTTCCTTTGTAATCAGTAGTAAATATGCACCTGATCATAAACTCATACTTTTCTTTATGGCCTTTTTTCCAAGCAAGCAAAGTATTACAGTCACTGGTATTTTTCTGGGAGTAAGAAAATAATACACACAGCACAGTAACTAAGTGCTTGGTGTTTGGAGTCAGACAGACCTGAGTTTGAATTCCAGTTCGTCCATATGCTAGCTGTATAACCTTAGACCTCTTTTCTGTACTTGTTTTCTCATCTGTAAAAGAGCAACATGAAACTTGCCTCATGGTGGAAGTGTGAAAGTAAGAGATAGTTTACATAAAATGCTGACCATAGTGCAGGCATAAAATTAGACTCTTAATTATATAAATAACAAACATCCAAGTCAGGTAACTTATGCAAGGCCAACAAATGAATGTATTTTTTAACTATGTAGACCACATACCAGCAGTTGGATGCTAGGTTATAGCACATGGTCTTTATTGTCATTTGCCTTGTTTTTTCAAGGCCAAGATTTTTGCTCAGCCATGGTAAGAACAAGGAGAAACAAGCTTCCAGACGGCAATTTTCCTAAGCAGACCAACTTGAAATCACTGCTTCTGTGGTTCCCCAACTGAATTATGTCAAAACCAGAACAAAATGAACAAAACAAAACAAAGCAGAAAGACTCTCTGGCTGCAGTAGGTAATGTCTGCCATACTATTTCCATGTTTATCAATGTGGTGAGTTGCCCTTTGGTCACTGCTTACCATTAAAATCAAAATCTAATCTAAAGGTTATCTCTATAAAGATGCAAATATAAATGAAAGATCAGAGGCATGTATGGAGTAGTTACAATGGTTAGCAATTTATCTGATCAAGAATCTTAAAGATCCCATCTGCGCACCAACTGCTATCACTAATATGCAATGCAAATTCTTGGCAATTATATTTTTAGCCTTATTGTGTACGGAGGAATGATAAACACGGAGAAAATGCTAACATTTTTATTTTGAATGTAATTAATCCTCACAGACAAAAAGAAGGGAAAACAACAAAGAATTTGGTCCTTAACCAGAAGTCCTTGTGGGCACACATTGAAACAATGAGATTTTGGACCCGTTTTGAATCTAGCACATTTCTGAAGTTAACTGCGGCACACCGCATGAAAGAGGAACTTCAGCGCCTAGTGGAAACGAGCCATTGCCATACACGAAGGAATTAGAAAACAATTATTTCACGTGTGCTCTGCACTGACCCTCCTAAAATCCAGATTTTTTTTCTCTCTGAAAGGTACTTTTAGGTGGGGCTGATTTATTGAATGTCACTGTTAATAAACTGGGTGAGAAAAGAAGTAATTGCTGAAGTGAGTCAACTTGTTTCCGAGCTTATGGGACGGGTGTCTTACGGGGAAGGCTGGGACGTGGCGTGACTACTCATTTGCTTGACAAGGGTGGTGGGATTTCAAAGGCAGTTAGCCAGCCCAAAAGCTGAACAGCAGGCAACAGTGATGTTGGCAGTCCAAGTCCTAAAATGTGAGGCACCACTATGACAGAACCCAAAGAAGTCTGACCTTGAGAAGCCCAGCCAGGGAGACATCTCTTTCCTTGACCTTGAAGGACTGAAGTCCCTGCAATCTATTCTTCTGCATGACCATTGATTACTGCTGTCATGTGAACCATGGAGAATGCCAGGACTATTTGCCCCATCTCTCACGTGCACGACTTTTGAGGGAGAGAGCTGGTGACATATTACGATTTGATTATTTTTGCTGTTCACAATTCTGCCACTTCTACCGATGCTGATGCCCTATTTCATTGAATCAGAGACCATTATTAATGAGTTAATGTATCACAATTTTTTTAAAGTTGTCAGTTGATGCTTCATTGTCTAGTTTTTATTTTTGTGTTTTTTTTTTTTTTTTTTTTTTTTTTTTTTTTTTTTTTTAGACCAGGTCTCACTATGTAACCCATGCTGGCCTTGAACTCAAAGCGATCCTCCTGGCTCAGCCTCCAGAGTGCTAGGATGACAGGCGTGCGCCATCCCACCAAGCTCTTTTATATTTACTACTTATTTTAATCCCAATTAGACAGATTATTGCTTTTTAATGATATTTACTTATAAAGGTAAACAAAATAAACTAGTTAAGAGGATCTTAAAACTGTCTCACATATGGAGTCTGGCTTGGAAATCCCTCTTGCAACTCATCCAGCAGAGCCATCAGCACATAAACACATCCTCCACATAAAACATTGTCCTTTATCTTTCTAGGAACTCTGGTGATGTGGCATTTTTAGAAAAGAATCCCTAAAGAATGAGAAGTCATTGGTACAAACCTAGAAGTGGGCTCTATGAATACCCAGAGCCTGCCTGTGCTTTTTGCTGAGAGGAAGCTGCTGAAGATATTGAGTTGGCCACCTCCCCAGTACCAACACTGTTAGTCTTTCCAATAGTTGAAACCCTGATGTGAGTTTTGATATCATTGTTGTTTGTGCACTTACAGGCAATGGTAACTCAATTCTCACTGCTGTTTGGCTAGCAGTGAATGAAAGACCCATCCCAATTTCAGAGGTTAAAATGCCAAAGACGACATGTCTTAGAATCGATGACAGTTGAACGGGATTTTAAGCTCTGGTTCCAGGGTACTTGACCTTCTCATAGTTCCTGAAAGCACAAAGCCCAGCCCTCCCCTGGTGCATCACAGTTCAGAAGCCCGATCTCCCCCAGCCTTGTTAGGATACTGTTCACAGAAACAGCAAGCTTTCTGAGATGAGATAAAGCAGGGCTGAAGATGAGGGGGAAATGCAGTCTCACTGGGAGACGTGCTTAAATCCAGAAGGCCCCTGGTAGGAGGAGGAAGAGGCACCTTGCTCTCACAAGACAGGTGAACGGGTGAGAACATAAGCACCCACTTTTTCTCATCTTCCTTCCAGGTTCCAGCCTGCACCCAGAGCCAAGAGACTGTGTGAGGGAGACATGAGAGCTCTCCTAAACTGAAGCCAGGTTTTGTCAGGAGATTCAGGAAAGAGAAAAAGAAACAGAAAGAGACAGGTAGGACTGCCTTCTATGGGAATGTGTGGTTTTCTTGAGCACAGGGTGAGAATGGTCATTTAAAAGCTGGAAGGATTCTGGGTATAGGTACTGGGGAGATGCTGAGAGGAACAATTCAAAGAAGGAAGGAAGTAGCCAGGCACAAAGCACCTAATTGTCCGGCTCTTAGGTAAGGCCAAATTTCAGCTGTCCTCTTCTGGATGATTTCTCCCTCAGGCTAAGCAACTGTAACCTCAGTAAAGATCCTCTGAGGTTTCAGTCAGGCATGGAGCCTGGCAGAAGGGGGAGACAGGTGGCCACCAGTCAGGTCCAGCCAGGCAGGCAGGAGCAGTCAGTTGAATGAACTGGGAGCTCTAGGTGGCAGAGAACACCCATAAATCTGGAGGTGACAGCGAAGCTACTCTTTGGGTACCCTGTCAATAGGCACAGGCTACACTTAGGGACAGACAGTGAGGAAGAAGTGAAGTCTGGCAATGTTTACGTGACAGAGTTTTGTTTCCAGCAGAATCATGTGTCCATATCAGAGATGAGGAAGTTGAGACTCAGCAGTGGAATTCAGACTCGTGTCGGATGGACTCCCAGCCCACTCCACCTGTCATGCCACACTATCTCTCAGGCATCAGGGAGAGAGAGACCTATACACTATGCTCAGCCACCATGGGCTGGCTGCTAGGGGATGAAGGGCTTGTATGTATAGCTCTACTGAACTTCAGCTCAGCCTGTAGGGCTGCTTGTAACCACAACAAAAGCAGTAGTATTGCCACCATCTCACGCAAGCCATGGCTTTATGATACAGTCAAGGAAATGTTCACACACCTCACCACATTATGTGCCTGTCTCCAATAAGTATTATAAGTAGGGACCGATTTTGTATCTTTTACGGCAACATTTGGGTTAGAGAACCAAATCTTAAGCAGAGTTTTGTACTGTGTGGTAGAGAAGGAAACAGGATCAGAGATGCTGAGCCTCAGGTTTTACAGTACCTAGTATACTGCTACTAGACAGCCTAGTTCACAGTGGCACTTAATATGTGCTGATGAGCATCCGAGACTCTTGAGAACTCCCCTGACAGGGCTCCTCAGTGACATATGCCCTCCCAAGTGAGTAGATCCAAGGCCAGTGTCTCTCCCCTTTGATCTGCCACTTTGTTTCCCTGCAGCTCAGCCTTCCATGCAGCCAGCACCAGCAACCGCACAGCTAGACTGACTGGGAATGACACGGGTGACATTTCCACACTGGCTCAGGCCCTGAGGTTGGATCTCTGTGCGTGTAAGGGTAGCTGCTGGCCAGAGCTTTGTTTTCTATGGAATACAGACATCCCAAGGGGAATTCAGGCATGTTTTCCTCTTCTGTTTTTTCTTCCCCATAGAAACTTTTTCTTTCTTCCTTTTAAAGCAGCAACCTTAATCTAAGTGGCATCTGTTGACTTCAAAAAACATTTAATTTTTGTCCCAGAGCACCCTTGCCATGACACAGAATGCCTTTCGGTTTCAAGCACTAAAACATCAGGGAAAAGTGATCAGCTGTTGACAAACACATTTAAAACTGTTGGGGCTGCAGTTTCTTATGTTTGTAGGTGGTTGTCAATAAATCTCAATTATTCCAGTTTCTGACTCTCCCGATCCCAGTTCAACTGACTTCTGGAATTACAATAACCAGGGGGCCAAGGTTAGGTACACACAGTTCTCCTTTTCTATCTGCAGAGCTGAGAAGTAGGAGACTCTGATACTTACTTTATTTTTTAAACTTATGCATGTTTAGCTATCTCTAGAGAAGATGTAAGGTTGTGTAAGGTGATATACAAAATACAAGAGAAAAAGAATAAGAAGTACAGGTGCAAGAAATTTAAAAAGCATAGGACAATAACTTGGAATTAGAATGAGGCCCGAGGTAGAAAGTGTGGATATGGCATGATTGAAACACTATGGTAAGTCCCACATTTGACTCAAATTTTTCTAGCTGGCATTTGTAGTTATACAAGTAAAGCCTTTGTTTTATTTAAAGCTATTATTCAGGAAAAAACATACCAGGACTTAATAATAAAGGCAGCAACTACCCATTCGGTGCCTACCAAAAACATATGGTACTAAACACTTTCTCTGCACGTATGAGGTGGGGGTTACTTCTCCTAAGCAGGGCCTTGAGCCACAATTTGCCCATAAAATGTATCATTTCCACATGGGGCTCTTAAAGTCCTCCCCCGCCAGTGCCTTCTCAAACTACTCTGTTCCCATTTCTGGCAGCAGCAATTCATGGCACTCTGTCTCTGAGCAGTAATTCATCTGGGTGGTCAGCATAAGTTCGACTGGGAGACAGACCGTGTTGGCAAAATTGCAGGTTAGGAAGTCATGGTAATCTTTGAGGCTGATGACAATGAATGAGTTAAAAACAGATCCTTTGGGAGCAAACCCTGTCTTAAAATTAAGTGGCTCTGTGTTGCTGTCCTTATAAAATCAGCTGGGAAGGGAAGTGGTAGAGCAGAGAGGCTGAAATGTCAGCCTGTCCGGGTACAGGCTCTGCCTGCTACTTTTCAGCTGTGATTGGGAAATGCATCTTGCTGAACCTCTCAGTTTGCTCATCTACACAGCAGGTCTAAGAGGCAGGTCTACCTTATGGGTCAGAGGGAGACTGAAGGGGATAACAGAGCAAAGCTT